GCATCTTGTTTTTTTTAACTTAAATGTATTTTGATAGTTTAGATAGAAGTTATTCTCACTGTTGGTTCCAATCCTTCAAACTATTATATCTTCTTGATCCTTCTTTAGGATAGGGTAAGAGGTATTGACATGTTTAGTTCTGTCCTCAAGATGTTTTTATTATTTTATTTTAGTTTTTTAGTGCTGGGGATTGAACCTAGGGCCGTCACACTGAGCTGCATCCCTAGACCTTTTTATTTTTTATTGCACCAGGGTCTCATTAAATTGCCAGGGACTGGGCTTGGACTTGGGAATTTTCTGGCTCAGCCTCCCATACTGCTAGGAGTACAGGCGTGCACCACTATGCTTGCCTAAAATCTTAGTGAAAATATGTGTTGTTCTTACATTTTTTTCTTACATTCCTCCCCCCAAAAATAGATAAATAAATGAGTTATTTAGAAGATTATACTAGTCTCTTAAACTTTAATGTATCACCTATTGTTTTCCTTTTTACTTTAGCACCCTACCCTTTGCAACATGCAAACTCTTAAGAGTAGTATCCCTAGTAACTATGTTACTACGTATGTTAGTCCATCTTTACTTTGATAGTGGTTACATGTATACTGGTGATTAATTGTTTTTTTTACTATGTTACCAAGTATGAAACTGAATGTAATCTTCTTGGCTTAGTGTAGCACTTTTGTGTGAGAAAATAGATAATAATCTATTCTCCTTATTCGTGGTAATTATGTTCCGTAAGTCACCACAAATACTGAACCATTGCTGCTAGGGAAAATAGAGGTTCCTGTAAACTCAAGGTTACAACATTTTTGCCAACCAGTCAGTACAGAAATGTTTTTATGTGTTCCTGTTTAAGATGCTTTATGTAATTTATATTGTTGATTCATTAATACTGAACTTACAACCAATAGGATTATAACTTATGCCTGAGTAACACTTACCCAGCATTTTTCCCCATAAGGTACATACAGCCTTCTTGTGCCTAGGAACACTAGCAGCACTTTAGTGCTATTCTTGGCAACCATTTTAAACCATGAAATTACCCACAAAAGGCACAAAATTGTGGGAAGCAAGGTATTAGACACTTGTTTACAATATGAAAGTTCAAGCAAGGCAAAGCATTGCCTTACTAGGTATCAGCTGGGAACATGAGCGTTTAGACAACTGTATGTACATGACCACGAAAGTATTGGTCCAGGGATTACAAATTTTAATGAGTAGCCGGATTAGCATATATGCATTTGTGAATAATGAAAATTGACTGTATATAATTGGGGGGGCCTAGGAACATGGCTTGTTTTTTCTTAAACATTTTCATCAAGCGCCGGGGATTTAGCTCAGTGGTTTCACTGCCTGCTGCACAAGCACAAGGACCCGAGTTCGATCCCCAGTACCAAAAAACAAACAACCTCTGTTTTTGTTTTTGTTTTTGTTTTTTGGTACCAGGGATCGAACTCGGGAGCTTTCACTTGCAAAGCAGGCAGTGGAACCACTGAGCTAAATCCCTGGCCCTGGTCATTGCCTTTTGCAATGAAGAATTAGTTTGGCATCTAGAACACACCTATTAGGCAGAATATTTTCTTCTGAGCCCAATTAATGTTTATTTTTATTAGGAACCTAAGAATGTTATGAAACTTATTTTCATCATTAATGTGAATGTAAGAATTATTTCTTTTTTAAATTGTGTATCAGATGTTTTCTTTGAGTGTGCATCTCTTTTACTATTTATTCTTGCTTAAATATACTTGAGAAGACAGTAACATATCCCCTTCCTCTTTTTAGTCTCATTTTCTTTCTGTCCTGTAGAACAGAGGACAGTGAGATTAGACTCAAAGAGGGAAACCTGAGGGATGATATACCACGAGCAAGTCTGCTTATCATAACAAATTAATTATGCCTGAGAAATTTTCAGGCAACATACAATGAATGCCTTGAAGGCTGTTTTAATACATTGATTTCTAGGAAATGTATTCCTTCTTTTCTTTATGCCTTTTAGGATAATTGCATTTTGGTGATGAGTTTAAAATTTGACTAAACAGATCATGTACTTCCCTGGTTCTTGAACTTTCTTTGATATAAAATGAGGTGTTCCTAAGTTTTAACTGTAAATTTGCAAAACCCTGTGCAGATTCGAGAAATGATGGAGTCCTTTGAAGGCCCTCAGCCTGCAGATGTGAGGCTGATGAAGAGGAAAACAGGTGAGAGCTTGCTTAGTTCCTACTGCTCTTGTTCTCTTCCCCATTCCCAGCTCCGTCCCTAAAGAACATCCTAATACCCCCCAATTCTTCAAGCACATGAATTCAGAATGAAAGGTTTGCCATGGCTAAGGAATGTGACACTTTGAAAACGATGTTAACATCTGAGGAACTTTCTAAAAACTTTGGTTTTAGGGGCTTTTTTTTCTCTAGGTAAGTAATGATTTGTAAACTCCTCGTGTGACTGTTCATAGTCTGTTGCATGGTTACATTAAGCGTGGAATCAAATCAAGTGGCATTTAGTTGAGGCGGCTTGTTCCTTGCCATGGCAAAGTGTCAAGAAGATCCCCAAGTCAAGTCACATTTATAAAGCTGCTTCCCAATTGGCTTTGTCACACAGTGTTGAAGCAGTGGGAGAGAGATTGACCTGTTATAAAGGAACTGACTAACACGAGTATCCCGTCTATATCTGAATGCTGTCTCTAGGTGTAAGCCGTGGTTTCGCCTTCGTGGAGTTTTATCACTTGCAAGATGCTACCAGCTGGATGGAAGCCAATCAGGTTGCTTCACTCACCAAGTCTAGATATTCATGAAAATGGAACAAGTCTGTACAATTTAAAAAAAGGTTGAAGGAGTGGTTTGTTCCAAAGGAGTGACTTAAAAAACAAAACAAGCTTTGTATATATTAAAATTGACGTTACTAGCATAAATAAAGTACCAAGTACTGCACTGCAGAACTTATTCTGCTTTAAACATGGCTACCTGGCAGAGCTCTAATTACTGCATTCCTGTCTGGTAATTATCAAAATATCTTAATCTCCTCTTTTGCCCTACCTGATTATATTCCTATTCATTATATCCATTGAGAGTATTCTTAGTATATCAAACTCTCTATTTGACAGTGAAGAGAATATAATGGAACTCTGTGGCAAGCAGTTTTATAAATAATTCCTTATTTCTGCCTGCAGACCACAAGCCTCCTGGAGGCATAGCTGCTCAAATGGGTCTTCAGGGGCTATTTAAGGACCTAGTGGAATTTATGAACAGTAAGTCTGATAAGATTAGGCTGGGAGCTATGGCCTGCTGGTGTCTAATCTAATTAGAGTGGCATTAACATCCTAAGCTCCCTGAGAATACCTAATGTAGTCTGTTCAAATAGATGGTTCTTTGATGTAGTGTTAACTGAAGTATTCTTCAGTTTGTCAAAATAATATTTAGTGCTTGATAATGAAATAAAATTTTTTTTCAAGAATTCCAAAGCACAATACTGAATGCCTTTAACCAAGCGCATTCAGGAAGTTTGCTAGACTCATGTGGCTTTTCTACAGTGTTTTATGATTTGAGTTGCCCATGAATAAGAATTACATTCTTTGATTAATAGTACCATTTGTAACAAGACTCACTAATAAAGCTGTCATCTCGAATGACTGATAAGATGTTTAAGACTCTCAGTTTCTTAACCCAGAAGTCACAACCTAGTCTTGTAAAAGTTGAGTTTCATTCATTTCATACCACAGATAACCATCCTACTAAACCCAGAACATACACAAGCTTTATGTGAGTCCATCTTCTTGATGGCATCATTTTGATGCAGTGGATGTTTCAGAATGACTAACCTGAGAGTTTAAAACTCCTAAGGAATTAAAGCTTGTAAGACATTTAAAAGTCTTCACAATTTTAATGTATACAAAGCTATATTAATGTGTAATACTTGATTGTAGTTCAAATTCACTCCAGAAATAAAAGGCCAATAGGATTAGGGACTCAGTGGTAGTTTGGAGTCTTCCCCAACACACATCCCTCCTAGCAGGGTGATCTGTTGACATATCTCCCAGCTTATAGTTGCTTCTGTACATCACAGTGAGTGGATGGGCCTTCAGCTTTTTCCCTCTTGGCCAGATACGCAGACTTGCTTTTAGATGTTACAGAGACAAAATTCACAGTTTGTCTTAAATATTTGAGTTTTTGAGAACCAAATTACTCAATTTGATCAATAATATACATTTAGAGGAATTAAACTCATTTTAAAAATCTGGATATCTAACCTGCTACTGCTACTTAATCTGTTCTGGTAGTGTCAGACCACCACTCCCATCATCCCCTCAAAAAAGAAAGAAAAAATGCTCCTGTTAAATGAAGGCTCTCTGAGGGCATGAGCTGGGTATACTCTTGGCTAGACTGATTCAGCTTGGAGTTTTAACCTTTTAAAGTTAAGTTCCTTTTAGTCACTTGGTTGACTTGAAGGATGAGATGGTGTACACTTTTATGAACTTTTCCTACCCCCCTGAAGAAACTTCATTGGCGGCCTGGTTATTCATCCTGAAGCAAGTACCATCAATTCCAGTGAAAAACACATCTGTCACCTAGGACATGACATGGTTGCATTTGGCAGGAAGAAATCTCATTTAGCTATTTTAGAGTTGGTAGCATTCAAAATAGTCCTTCCTGAGAAAGAGTTATAATCAGATTCCCTTTTAAAAATGAGTTCCCCTCCCTTTGTCCTCCCAAAGGATACATTCTGAAGCAGGAATTTTAGGGGGAAGGGGAAATATAAAGGCTTTTACTTTGCATAAGGATGAGGGACTGGGAAAAAGTGAAGCAAAGCCTAAGGACACCATGCTAAGGGCTAATACAGGAGACAGACTCAAGACTGGGAGAGGTCTTCTGCTTTTGAAATAGAGTGTTACTCACAGGCAGCCTGTCAATGCTGAATATTAGAACTTCTGTCTCTGCTGGAGACACGGCCTGGTGCATGTCAGCGTTTAGTGTTTGGCAGCTTTCTCAGCACTCCCTGACTCCGTTTACCTTTACTCCGCATCCCATTCTCTTACTGCCTATCTGAAGGATTGGATGGGCAGAGTATAGGTGGCGGTGGTTGGTCCTCCCCGTATGTTGTCCATTAATTCCAGAGCACTGATTTTTCCGAAGTGTGCTCTGCCCTGGGAAAATGGACACACATTCCTCACAATGAGAATAACTAATTACTTCTTTTCTTACAGAAAAAGTTGGTGATTCAAGGAAAGCACATTGCAATGCATTATAGCAATCCCAGACCTAAGTTTGAAGATTGGCTTTGTAATAAGGTAAGCATGTATCCTTCCAAAATAAGCAAATCTTCTTTGGGATTTTGCTGTTTTTCTGTTTGATATCCAGAAAAGGAAATTAGTATAAGCATGATTATTAGCTCTTATGATAAGGTGATTTATATATATATAGTTTTTGGTACCGGGGATCGAACTCGGGACCTTGTGCTTGTGAGGCAGACGGCAGAACCACTGAGCTAAATCCCCAGCCCATGATAAGGTAATTTTTGTGTTTTGTGACTTTCTGTGAGTTTTGTGCTGGTATAAGAGGACAGAATGGTCTGCAGCTGAAATATTTTGTTTTATGGAGACCCAGGTTTCTAAGCTATAGAGGTTTTTTTTGTTTTGTTTTGTTTTTGTTGTTTTTGGTACCGGGGATCAAACTCGTGTCCTTGCGCTTGCGCAGCAGGTGGCAAAACCACTGAGCTAAATCCCTGGCCCAAGCTGTAGAGTTTTCAGGTAAGATTTTTTTTTTCCTTTTTTTTGTACTGGGGATCGAACTCGGGACCTTGCACTTGCGAGGCAGCCGCAGGAACCACTGAGCTAAATCCGTGGCCCTAGGTAAGGCTTTTTTTGGGTACTGGGACCGAACTCAGGGACCTTGCGCTTGCCCTTTTGTTTTTTTGTTTTGTTTTGTTTTGTTTTGTTTTTGTTTTGAGACAGGATCTTGCTTTGTAGTTAAGGCTGGCCCTAAACTCACTATGTAGCCCAGGCTACCGTGAACTCTCCCAGTGCTCCTTCTGCTTCAGCCTCCCAAATGCTAGGATTATAGGCATGTGCCACCACACCCCACCTAATGTGTTATACTTGATTATACTTCATATTCATTTCAGAAATAAAAGGTCAATAGGATTAGGGACTCATTGTGGCACACAGGTGTAACCTTACCTACTGAGGCAAGAGGAACACAAGTCCAAGGCTAGCTTGGGCAATTGAGTGAGATCTTGTCTCAAAAAATAAAAAGGACCAGGGGGCCGGGGATTTAGCTCAGTGGTTCCACCACCTGCCTCGCAAGTGCAAGGTCCGGAGTTTGATCCCCAATACCAAAAAAAAAAGGGCTAGGAATGCAGTTCAGTGGTAGTGTGTCCCTGGGTTTGATCCTCAGTAACACAAAAAAAACCTTTTAAGCATGTGTCGCTAATTGTTGACTTCTGGAGCTCTCAACTTCAGCATATTCTCTTCACAGTGTTACCAGAAATCTTTGAGACCCTTACCACAGAAAGTTCTTTTGGGGGGCTGGGGATGTAGCTCAGTGGCTCTGCACCTGCCTGACAAGCACCAGGTCCTAAATTCCATTCCTAGTACTGGGGGAAAACAAAAAAGTTCTGTTGGGCCCTGTCACCAGTGTGCTTTTTTGCGGTTTTTTGAGACAGGATATTGGTGTGTATTTCAGGCTGGCCTTGAACTCATTATATAGTCCAGGCAGGCCTCAAGCTCACACCAGAACTGCTTCTGCCTCCCATGCTCTGAGATTACAGGTGTGCGCCACTACACTCAGCTGGGTGTGTCATTTTAACTTTAATATTGGCATAACTGTTTTGAGAGTGCTCACATTCTTTGCTCTGCATGTGTCTAGCAGGAAAAGAGATAGTGTTCAGGTCACATTATGTCTGAGTATATAGAATGGTCCCTATAGTGCTCCTTAATATGAGGAAGAACTTTGCCAGTGGCTTACTCTTAAGGTTTTTAGGTGAACTGAAACCTTTCCTCAACTTGAAAAAAATGGAATTCTACTTTAGAATACAACAAAATTTGTTTTTCTTGAAAGAATTTACATAGTATAATGCTCTAAATTTTTAGCTTATGCCCCACTGTTTCAGATACATGATACTAGTTTCTGCTTTTTTGCTTTGGTTTTGTTGTTGTTGTTATTGTTTTGAGACAGGTTCTCACTATGTAGACAGGTTCTCACTATGTAGGCTGGCCTTGAATTCACTATGTAGCCCAGGCTGGCCTCGAACTTGCAGTGATCTTTCTGCCTCAGCTTCCCGAGAGCTGGGATTACAGGCATGTGCCAACATAGCTGGCTCTGCTTTTTTTATATTAGTTACTGGACTTTCCTATGGCCTCATTACTCTAATTCACATTGTTACTAGAAAGCCTATCCTAATGTAAGATACAATCACAGACCCAGGTGTGGAAGTGCACGCCTGTAATCCCAGCCCACGGGGCGAGGGAGGAGGATCATTGAGTTTGATGCCAGCCTGCCTAGGGAGACCTTATTTCAAAAAAAAAAAAAAAAAAGAAAGAAAGAATTACAGATGCATTTTTTTTCTTTCAGTGCTGCCTGAACAATTTCAGGAAAAGACTGAAATGCTTCCGATGTGGAGCAGACAAGTTTGGTAAGCATGAATTCAGCTGTTGGGAAAATGCTATAAAATCTAGCTCATTAAATTATTGTCTGTAAATTAGGACAGTTAAACAAGTAACTGGGATATTTTCCTTAAGCCTTTATATTAGGCTGGGTCGACGCTCCTGATGTTTGCAAGAACACAGAAAATTCTTTTCATTTTCCAAAATTAAATTTGCTCATTTGGTTTGTATTCTGCATCTGCTTTTCTCTATTGTAGAGTAATGCCAGTTCTGCCCTAGCTCAATGTTTGCATTCTGTGTTAAACCTGTCAAAATAATAGGGTTCTGCTGGGTGTGATGGCATAAACACCTGTAATCCCAGCACTCAGGAGGCAGAGGCAGGAGGATTGCTGTGAATTCGAGGTCAGCCTAGGCTACATAGTGAGCTCTCAAGGCCAGCCTGAGCTACATAATGAGACCCTGTCTCAAAAAAACAATAAAAAAGGGGGTGGAGGTTTTGCTATAGCCACAAATCCTTTAGAAAGAAAAAAAAAAAAATAATGATGATATAACTGCTAGATGTGCTTAAAATAAAACTTTGGGCTTTTAATGTTTTTCTTTACTAAAAACACATTGATGTTTGTTTGTTTGTTTATCTTGTTTTCAATTGGGTCTCTTCCTCCTTCTAGATTCTGAACAGGAAGTGCCCCCTGGAACCACAGAGTCAGTTCAGTCTGTAGATTACTACTGTGATAGTAAGTTAAAGCATAATCTTTTCAGCCTTAAAAGTTAACCTTAGTTGGAAATTTTGGTACCTTTATCCTTTTTTTAGTGAGCAGTGGCTTCTGGTTGCCCCATAAAAGATTGGTTTTAAGAATGTTCTCCATGTTAGGGTAAACGATACATTAGGAACTTCTCAGAATTGTTTTTTTGTTTGTTTTTAATCTCATCTTATAAAGCATTGGTGGTAGGAATGCATGTTTATGTCATTTGTCTCTTCCCTCTGCAGCAATCATTCTTCGGAACATAGCTCCACATACTGTAGTGGATTCCATAATGACAGCACTATCTCCCTACGCATCCTTAGCTGTCAATAATATTCGTCTCATAAAAGACAAGCAAACCCAGCAGAACAGAGGCTTCGCATTTGTGCAGTTGTCTTCTGCAATGGTGATGTTCTCATTGAATCTTTCCTTTTAAAGAAACAGCATGGGGCTGGGGAGGTTGAGCTCAGTGGTGGAGGGCATGCTTACATGTGTGAGGGCCTGGGTTCGATCACTAGCACCAAACAACAACAAAATAAAAAACAATTTTTGGGCCGAGGATTTAGCTCAGTGGTTCCGCTGCCTGCCTTGCAAGTGCAAGGACCCGAGTTCGATCCCCGGTACCAAAAAAAACCAATTTTTGGTAAATGTGGTTCATCCTGTTTTGATATTTTGTATGAGGCTTCTGGAGCCCAAGGTTCAAGGTAATGATATATTGCAGTGCTAAATTACAAGACTGATTTTTTGGTTGGGTGAATGGTGTTGAGACAATTTTGCTATGCAGTCCAGGCTAGCCTCGAACTTGCTGTATAGCTCAGGCTGGCCTCAAACTCCTCTTGCCCCTACCTCAACATCTCAAGTGCTTCTGGGACAATAGGTTTCCATCACCATACCCAGCTTATGATACTAATTTCTTTGATGAGTACTAACAGTTCTAGAGAACTGGCAAAACTGAAGTTTGAGCCACACTGTAGTCCTTCATGCTTTGTTTTACATTGTTTGTTTGCGGGTGTGTGTGTGTGTGTGTGTGTGTGTGTGTGTGTGTGTGTGTGTCCGTGTGCGCGTGCGCATGCGTGCCTGTGTGCCTGTATGCCTGTGTGTGTGGTACTGGGGCTTTGCATAAATTTACTTTTAATTTTTGAAATGGTCTCGCTAAATCACTTAAGTTGCCCAAGCTGTGCTCAAACTTGGTATCCTCCTGCCTCAGCCTGCTAGTGTGCCGGGATTACAGGCATGCACCATCACACCTGGCTTATTCTTTTAATAATACTGGATTCCTTCACATCCTGGAAGTATTTCTTTTGTCAAGGTTTCATATATGCAAATACAATGAGGAATCACAGCTTTTTTAAAAAATAGCTGTATTTCTTGAATGACTAGGGAGAAATTTTTTATTGCATGACACATTTGGTTTTCTTCATGTTTTCTTTTAGGATGCGTCTCAGCTGCTTCAGATATTACAGAGTCTCCATCCTCCTTTGAAAATTGATGGGAAAACTATTGGGGTTGATTTTGCAAAAAGTGCTAGAAAGTGAGTGACTTCATTATCCTTGTTTCAAACTGCTGCAACTGCACATTTGTCCGGCAGTGCTTTGACAGTCACTGCTCTTAACAAAGAAATGCCCTCCTCCCTAGTTCAAGGCCAAAAAGAGGATTGTCTTCTCTTAGAACTTATTCTCTCCTTTCTTCTATAACCAGTTGATAGCAGAAGTGGTTTCAGAGCAGGACAAAGGAAAGTATGGCAGATGAGTTGAAAGCATGTTCTGTGGGAACTGCAGCAGTATAGTGCAAACATGTTCAGAAATAATCTCATTTTTCCAGAACGGCACACTAATAGCTTCATGTCTATAGTACTTTGGTCTAGCTCTAAATTTCCCTTTCCTAATGTATCATCGCTCGTCCAACAGGTGCCTTGTTATATGGTAGTTACAAAATAGAGCAGTGATATTACAGAGCCACTTTACCATAAATACATCTTCCCCTGTGAATTTGGCCTTTGCTGGCATGTGAAACCTCCTGACAAGGCTATCATTGCTGCTCCCTTGTCAGTGTGGGGCTCCACTTGGGGGCATATTGAGTGGTGTGCAATTACATGATTGGGATGTTTGCTTTCAGAGACTTGGTCCTCCCAGATGGCAACCGTGTCAGCGCCTTCTCTGTGGCTAGTACAGCCATTGCTGCTGCTCAGTGGTCGTCTACCCAGGTAAGAGACAGGTTCTTTTTGCTCAAGGTAGTATAGTTGTGGTTACCAAATTCACAGCAATGACCTTTTCTGCGGTACTTGTATTAGAAATCTCCAAGGACATTTATAGGGAGTACTTCCTAGCTTCTTTACTTGATATGCACTAAGTTTGTCTTTGCTTCCTTTTCTTTTGACATTTTGTAGTCTCAAAGTGGTGAAGGAGGCAGTGTTGACTACAGTTACTTACAGCCAGGCCAAGATGGTTATGCGCAGTATGCACAGGTAGGTCTGTTTGACTAGCATTCAACTTGAAGATTGCAAAATGTGTGTAAGAATAATAGCTTTAATGGAATTTTCTTCAGTACTCACAGGATTACCAGCAGTTTTATCAGCAACAAGCTGGAGGATTGGAATCTGATGTATCGTCTGTATCAGGTAGTAAATGTCATCTCCTTTTTACTTTTTGTTTAAGCAACTGTTGTTGAGGATTATGTCTAGAGTCTTAACTAGACCCAAAGTTATAAGTCTATATCCCTGAAAGAATATGGGGGACACATTCAAGGATATCACCATCTGCCCAAGGTTCTGGGAGGGTTAGGGTTGTTTGTATACACCAAGAACCAATATAACTTCTAAGAGACCATCTCATGATGTGTTTTATTTTTGGAATTCAGTTCTTTCTTTGCCTGCCTGGTTATTACATGTTGTTAGTGTCCATATAAGTTCAGAGAGCAAAGAATGTGGCCTCAGAGACATGATAAACATCAATCAGAAGGGTCATAATAATATAGTAAGTCCGTGACCTAAACACATTCAAGGTGTGAACTTTCACAGATAGCAATGGACCTTTCATTGCAAACATTCGTAGGTGGAAACAAATCATGGAAGTAGCTTATGTGTCTGCCAGGCATTGTCATGGTTGTGCTGCTATGTGCTTACTGTACAGTGTGATAGTGTAGGGTAGTACAATGCTCAGTCAGAACCCAGGATGTCTGGATCCAAGAAAAAGAGCAATGATGATGTGGAGAAGACTGCTAGGAAGGGCAGAGCAATATACATTGTATATTTGTGTCAAAGGTGTATGACTCATTTTGTCAGATTTACTCTAATAAGACTTTCCTTTAGTGTTTTGTTTTGTTTTGGTACCAAGGATCAAACCCGGGACCTTCCGCTTTTGAAGCAGGCGGCGGAACCACTGAGCTAAATCCCTGGCCCCCTCCTTTAGTTTTTGTTCCAGAATTATAAAACTTATAATCAAACCACCACCACCACCCCCCATACTGGGGATCAAACTCAGGACCTTACACTTTCGAGGGAGGCATGGTGAACCTTTCCTTAACCTAGAGCAGATAGGGATTTTTTTTTCCTTTTGGCCATCATACTGAATTCTTAATTTTGTGTATCACGTTCTAGTAGGATTATAAGAAAATGAAACCCAGTATTTTGGCACACACCTGTAATCCCCAGTTACTCTGGAGGCTGAGGCAGGATGCAAATTTAAGGTCATACGGGCAATTTAACAAGACCCTGTCTCAAAATAATTTTTTTAAAAGCCTGGGGATGTAGCTCAGTGGTAGACTTGCTTGTCTAGCAGTATAAGGCACAGGGTTCAGATCTAGGTACTGCAAAAAAAAAACACCTAAATCGAGCATTACACATGTCTTGAAGTCCAGTGCCTTAACTCTGCCTAACCCCTGTGTTTATCATCTGCTCAGCAGTGACCACCACCTCAGCAGCTGTAGTGTCCCAGAGTCCCCAGCTGTATAATCAGACCTCCAATCCACCTGGCTCTCCGGTAATTCTGTCCTCTTATTTGTGATTGTTGGGGAAATTTTATGTTGCTGTACAAATACTGTCCTTTCCTGCTGTATAAACTAGGGTTGAATAACATACTTTCCAACCTATTTCTCTTTCATAGTATTAGATAATAAAATTTTACTATGTGTCGGTGCTTATATTTCCAATATAAAATTACAAGTGGGATATATTTACACTTTGTGCATGCTTCAACTTGATCTTTAGAAAGTTGTCGGCATGTCTTTTGCTGAAGGATTGCTTTGAATCCTTGCTGTGGTGTGTCTGTTAGGGTATCCTTTCCTCCTGGATAATTGCAGTGATTTAGTTTTCTTAAAAGGCTTTACAAAATTATATTGAAGCTGCTGTTCTTTCCAGACTGAGGAAGCACAGCCTAGCACTAGCACAAGTACACAGGCCCCAGCTGCTTCCCCCACTGGTGTAGTTCCTGGTACCAAATATGGTAAGCCAAACCTTATGGGGCTATTGACAGTTAGAAGGTCCTAGTTGCTGCTTTTGTTTAATAAAAGTTCCTCTTCCGCTATGGATGACAAAGGGACACTTGGGATGTAAGAGAAAAAACATTAAGGACTGCTGTGTCTCATTGACTTAGAATTAAAAAAGACATTTTCTTACCTGGAATGACTGTGCTGGATTTTGTTTTTGCAGCGGTACCAGACACATCCACTTACCAGTATGATGAATCTTCAGGATATTATTATGATCCAACAACAGGGCTCTATTATGACCCCAACTCACAAGTAAGAGTGATATTTTTCTCCTCAATTTCACTAGGAGGATCTTAGTTTTGCTTAGTACATTTATGAGTCATGAGATAAAATAATTCCCTGCAAAGGAGTATGTGACCCAAGTAAGTTTTATTTTACTATTATTTGGGTGTAATGGTGCTGGAGATCAGACTTTACCACTGAGCTGTATCCATATCCTCTGGATGAGTTTTAGCCACCAAGATGTAATTTTTATTTATTTTGGGTGTTTGTTTTGTTTTGTTTTGTTGGCAGCACGGTACTTGAGATTGAACCCAGGGCCTTCATACTAAGCTACATCCCTCTAGTTCTGGGATTACAGGCTCCCATTCCTGCCTTTGGATTTTAACTTTAAAGCTAAATGTTTTGAGGTAGCTGGGCGTAGTTGCACACATCTGCAATACTGGCTACTGGGGAGGGTGAGGCAGGATGGTCACAAATTTAAGGCCAGCCTAGCCAGTACAGCAAGATGCCATCTCAAAAAAAAGTTCTGAGGTGTAATGTACATATAGAAAAATGCACAAGGTTGAGGTTTACAGTTCTTTGAATGTTTAGATGCATGCACATTCATATACGTACCATCACTCAGAACATTCCCAGCATACCTGGAAGGCTCTTCATACCTCTTTCTAGTCAGCACCCTCACACTTCAGTAACCACTGTTCTGATATTCTTTATCAGAGGCAATATTGCCAAGTTTTGTGTAAAGCTCTGACTAGAAGTTTTAAAATGCATTTTCTTTCTATTAAGATAAAATGCACCATTTTACCATTTATAGTGTATTATGCAGTGGTTCTTATTATAGTCACAATGTTATGCAACTGCCATCCCTAGCTAATTTCAGAACATTTTCATTACACCAAGAAGGAACCCTATACCCATTTCTAATCACTCCCCATTTCCTCTTCTCCCAAGTAACCACTAACCTACTTTTTGTCTCTGTGGATTTACCTATTCTGGATATTTCATGTGACCTCTTGTGTCCAGTGTCTTTTACTTAACATACCCATGTATTCTTGAGGGTAGAATTTAGCAAATCTGTGGAGTGATACTTTATTTTTAGTGGTGTATATAATTTTTTAAAGAGGAAAAGCAATTTTTAACACTCCATAAATAACTGTTTATGACCAGGAGCTATGTATATAGAGTATAACAGGAACTTGTGGTTTCTGAGAGAGGAAAGTGTAAAGCTATGTGTGACCTGCTTGAGCAGGCCTGGCCTTTGCATTTCTTCCACTTCTCTGTTCTTTTTGGTTTTTGGGGGGTTTTTTTGGTACTCGGGATTGAAATTGGGTCCTTGCGCTTGCTCAGCAGGCGGCGAAACCACTGAGCTAAATCCCCAGCCCCAGGTGGCAGTTTTTTTAGTGTGGTCATAAAGGTTGTTACTTCTGTGTCTTACACCACTTTGCCTGGAAGAAAATTAAGATAACTCATTCCAGGTCCCTGTTGAGCAGTTAAATGACAGGAGTAAAGAGAAGAGGAGGAAAAGTGTCACCTGTTGAGCTTGGGTTCCTTTAGCAAAACCTCCTTCCAGAGTCCCTTGCAAGTGTTCACAGCCCTCTTGATTGCCTAGAGTTCCTTCCATATGAATGAACCTAATGGTGAGCTGTTAACTGGTTGTCATGGAGGATGTATGTCTGATATGTCCACCTACTCTGGCCTACCTACTTGGTTTATATGAACCGCCTGTGGGAAGAAGTGACACACAGTATTCTTTGGGTCCCCTCTAGGTAGGCCCTGCTATTAAATTAATGATAGCCAGATTCTTGGAAAAGAACCAATTTTTACTTTGTTTTTTTGTTTTGTTTTTTTGAGACAGGGTTTCACTATATAGTTCAGGCTGGTCCTGAACTCACTAAGTAGCCCAGGCTAGCCTCAAACTCATGGCAATCCTCCTGCCTCAGCCTCCTGAGTGCTGGGATTATAGGCATGTGCCACCATGCCCAGCTCCAATTTTTATTTTGACCCTAGAAGTTTCACACTTCTTTTCTAGCTGGTTCATCATCCTTAGACATACCAGGGTATACTGAGGGTTCTTTCTGGGCAGGAAACCTCACTAATATTTTGTATTTGTGTGCTGGAGATTTAGCTCAGTGGTTTTGCCGCCTGCTGCGCAAGTTCAAGGACCTGAGTTCGATCCCCAGTACCAAAAAAAACAAACAAAAAAACCCAAGCAATATTTTATATTTGTATGTTTAACTTTTTTTTTTTTTTTTTGGTACCAGGGATCGAACTAATGCCCTTGCGCTTGTGAGGCAGGCAGCAGAACCACTGAGCTAAATCCCTGGCCCTTGTTTTAACTTTTTTAACAAAAAATAATTTTGACCTACTTTTAAAAATTTTACTTAGGCTTTTTAAAATTTGCTTAAGGTACAGCTCAGTGGTAGAGCTTTTCCCTAGCATGTTCAAAGCCCTGGGGTTCAGTCCTCAGCACTGGCATAAAAAGAAGTTTGGTAGGTATAATGGTGTGTGTCTGTAATCTCAGCACTCTGGGAGTCTGTGTTAGGATTACAAATGGCATTAAAATCAGAGCCTAGGGTGTGTGGAGATGTACTGCTCCTCTCTAGTTTATACCCTGAAAAGTTCTAAAAGGCAACCGTCAGCAAGTATCTAGTGACTTGAGACTCTGTCTCGAAATTTAAAAAAGGAGGCCGGGGATTTAGCTCAGTGGTTCCAGCACCTGCCTCAAAAGCAACAAGGTCCTGAGTTTGATCCCCAGCACCAAGATAAAAAAATTTTTTAAAGGGAGCTTGGAAATGTAGTTCAGTGTGAAGGCCCTGGGTTCAAGCCTCAGAACTGGGAAAACAAAACAAAAAGGAGAAAATCTACATTAATTTTATTTTCTTCTTCTAGTACTACTATAATTCCTTAACACAGCAGTATCTTTATTGGGATGGAGAGAAGGAGACCTATGTGCCAGCTGCAGAGTCCAGTTCCCACCAGCAGACGGGCCTGCCTCCTGCAAAAGAGGGGAAAGAAAAGAAGGAAAAACCCAAGAGCAAAACAGCTCAGCAGGTAAAGAGTAGTAGGAGCCAGCCAGGGAACCTATAATTTCCTTTTTGGAGTATTGAAAGGCTTAATTCTTCATTTTTTGCTTGCAGCATTTATGTCAGCTTTATTTAAATTCTTTTTTTTTCTTTATTTAGATTCTTAAAAACTGGGCTGAGGGTTTAGCTAGGGTTGCAGCTTGCCTAGCTTATGCAAGGCCTTGAATTTCATGGGGGTGGTGGTGCTGGATGTGTACAGGCTTTTAAGAAATATTTGTAGGTTGTACGTGATAGCATCTGTGGAAATATTGTAGGTAGAAGAGTAAAAGGGGGTTTGTTATAGGCCATGTGGTTGAGATAAGATCCTTAATAGCTCGTTGCCAATGGACAGGAAACTAAATGTTTTGGGGTGGTGTTTGTTGTTTGTTATTAGATCGCCAAAGACATGGAACGCTGGGCTAAGAGTTTAAACAAGCAGAAAGAAAATTTTAAAAACAGCTTTCAACCTGTCAATTCATTGAGGGAAGAGGAAAGGAGAGAATCTGCTGCAGCAGATGCTGGCTTTGCTCTCTTTGAGAAAAAGGTAACAAATAGTAGGAGGACCAGCCACAATTCATAATGGAAGCCTATGTAAAACCTAGAGGCTTATTTATGGCTATTTTGCTTTCCAGGGAGCCTTAGCAGAAAGGCAGCAGCAGCTCATCCCAGAACTGGTGCGAAATGGAGATGAGGAGAATCCCCTCAAAGTAAGGAAGTACCACCATGTTTTAAAGATTGTGTCTGTGGTTTGTTTCACTTAGAATCTCAATTACATCTTGGCTAATGTGATTTCTACTTAAAACTGGATGTGGTCTCTGTTGATGGGTATTTGAAGCAGTTTCTACACATAAAATCCATATTCAGGAATTTGTTTTCTATATCTGAAAGCAGGTGTGATGGAGCAGTGAATGAAGCCTGAATTCTTAATCTCAGTTAATTGAGTTTTGTTGCAACTGTAAATAGAAATTTTAATGGTCTGGAAAAAGAAAATTAACACAGGAAAAAAACGTATTCTTCTTGGTAGATACTGGTCCCACTGGGCCATTACTCTGATCTGTTGTTGTAACTGGGTTTTTTAATGTGAGTCATTACGAAAAAATGATACAAGGTAATCAGGATTCTCCCACGTTATAGATGAGGCATTACTTTACTCAGGTACATAGCTGTTGTTATTTTTGTTGTGCATTTCCAATAACCCATCCTTCTTTTGTCCCCAGAGAGGTCTGGTTGCTGCATATAGTGGTGACAGTGACAATGAAGAAGATCTGGTAGAGAGACTTGAGAGTGAAGAAGAGAAGCTTGCTGACTGGAAGAAGATGGCCTGTCTGCTCTGCCGTCGCCAGTTCCCAAACAGAGATGCCCTGATCAGGCACCAGCAGCTCTCTGACTTACACAAGGTTGCCTTGCTTCTCTTGAGCTGGTTGGAGGTGGGGAAGGAAGACAGTAAGATGATGGGAATGTCCTGATCATGTTGCAAGTTCAGTAAATACCTGTTGGTGGTGGTTGCCTTGTAGGAATGTTCCAGGGTATAGAGTGTGGAGAGGAGCAGTACTGCTCCACATACCCCAGGCTCTGGTTTTGATGCTACATGAATTGGGCTTTGGCTCTTAAAATATAATAGATAGTGGGCTGGGGATTTAGCTTAGTGGTTCTGCCACCTGCCTCGCAAGTGCAAGGTCCCAAGTTTGATCCCCAGTACCAAAATATATATATATATATATATATATATATATATATATATGTGATAATGTTATGACTTATGACTTTTCACATTAGTGTGGTCTGAACTCTAACTGTAAAACAATCTCTTATATAGCAAAACATGGACATATACCGACGATCCAGGCTGAGCGAGCAGGAGCTGGAAGCCTTGGA